TTGTTTGTTTGTTTTTTGTTTTTCTCCGGTACCGGGAACCGAACTCATGACCTTGCGCTTGCCAGGCAGGCGCTTTTGCCGCTGAGCTAAATCCCCAGCCCCTTTATATATTAATCTTATATTCAGCAACTTATTTAACACACTTATTAGTCATAACTTTTTTTTGTTTTGTTTTTTTTTTCCGGTACCAGGAATCGAACTCACGACCTTGCACTTGCCAGGCAGGTGCTGTGCCACTGAGCTAAATCCCCAGCCCCCCATAACTTTTTTGTAAATTCTGTAGTTCTCTAATCCTTCCATGGGTGAATAAAAATAGGTTTACTTCTTCATTTCTCATCTGGATACATTTTATTTCTTTTTCTTGCATGAGTGTACTGAGTTGAACTGGCAGTATCATCTTATTAAGCAAACATCCTTGTTTTTGTTTCTTATCTTAGGAGAGAAACATTCAGTATTTCAACATTAGGTATGCAGTTGGCTGTAGGAGTTATGTATTTTTTTAGATTAAGTAAATAGTCCCCTTCTATTCCTAATTGGCAGAAATTTTTGTCATAAATCCATATTGGACTATAAAAAGTGATTTTATGATCTAGAACCTCATATAACATAAATTTCTTAAATTTTTCACTTACTTCATGCTTAAAACTTATTAAAAGACACACTACTCTTAGAATACAGTCCAAATTTCTTATCATGGTGAATATCTTCTACCACTTCTAAAAAACATACTCTATGATACACCATAAGCAAATTATGGTTCTGTGAGTGTGACAATGCAATCTTAGGCTTCTGTGAAATTTCTCATTTTATTTATCTGGTATAACAAGCTCCTCATCACCTAACCACTAAGTGTGTCTCAAATACCCAATTATTCAGATGAACTCCAGCTATCCTTTAAAATTCAACGTTGAAACAATCCTTCTTTTGTGATCACTCCTTCTTCAGTCTTCAATTTGTGTTGGGTTCATGTTTCTATGTTCAAAGTACTATTCTGCATGTAACTATTTCTTTGTATCCTTTGTATGATAAGCAATCCATGTGTAAGTAGAATATTTACATTTTTATTTTTTATTTTAAAAATAAAATGAAAATGTTAACAGACAACCATTTACAAAATAGCAAAAGAACAGTACAAACAATACAGAGATACAAACAATACAGAGATACAAACAAAGTGGTAGGAAATTAACAGTGCTTGTTGTATTACATATTGATATCTTCAAAGTGGTTTCTCATGAAAACAAATAGAGACATGCAATATTGACCAATCAAGGACTCATTAACTTTTTCTTTCAGCAAAGAAATAGAAGATAGTAGATCAAGTACGTTAATTATTCTGTATATACATACATACATACAAAATTTCTCCTTCTTTCCCTTCTCTTTTCGCACATCCCAGTTGCTCTTTACCCTTGTTTTCCTATCATTTCACAATGTCTATCAAACCTCCAAGTTTTTATTAACTCTTTCAGGTCTCACACTAGTGAGATGATGCGGTGCCTGCACATGCAGGTCTGATTTATTTCACTTATGAGTATGGTCTCTAGTTGTGACCATTTACCTGTGAAAGCCTTGGGTTTATCTTTCTTTATAGCTGAGTAATATTCCATTATATAAAAGTACCACAATTTTCTTATCCACTCCTCAGTGGATGGACATTTGGGATGCTTCCACAGTTTAGCAATTACAAATTGTGCTGCTATGAACATAGGTGCACATATATCACTGTGATATGATGTTTAGAGATCATCTGTGAAAATACCCAGCAGGGGAATAGTTGGGTTGAATAGGACCTCTAGTCCTAGTTTTCTGAGGAATCTCCAAACTGATTTCCACAGTGGTTTCACCAGTCTGCCTTCCCACCAGCAGTGCAGAAGTGTTCCTGTTTCTCCACAGCCTCATCAGCACTTGTTATTGGTTGATTTCTTAATGCTAGCCATTCTTACCGGGGTAAGGTGGAATCTCAGTGTTGTTTTAATTTGCATTTCTCGAATGACTAATGATGTTGAACATTTTCTCATGTATTTATTTTCCATTAGTATCTCCTTGTCTGAGAAGTCTGTATTCATCTCAGATGCCCATTTTTGGATTGGGTCTTTGAATTTGGGGGGGCTGATGTTTTTTAATTCTTTATATGTTCTACATAGAAGCCCTCTGTTTGAGGGAGAGTCAACTAAAATTTTTTCCCAGTTTGTGGGTTTTCTTTTCACTCTGCTGGTGGTTTCTTTAGATGTGCAGAAACTTTTCAGTAGGATGAGATCCCAGTTGTTGATTCTTTGAAGCTTTTCACGAGCAGTTTGGTTTTTTTTCATGAACTCTCTGCCTATCCCTATGTCTTCAAGGTTTTTACCTGCTTTCTCTTCCAATAGATTCAGTGTTTCTGTTTTAATATTGAGACCTGTGAACCATTTTGAGCTGAGTTTGGTGCATGGTGATAGACTTGAGTCTATTTTCAGTCTTTGGCAGGTAGCAAGCCACTTTCTCCAGGACCATTTATTCAAGAGGCTATCATTCTTCCAGTGAGTTTCTTTGGCCCCTTTATCAAAGATGAGGTGGCTGAGTGTGGCTTTGGTTGTGTCTGTTTCTTCCAGTCTGTTCCATTGATCCTCAGGCCTGTTTTTTAGCCAGTACCATGTGATTTTATTACAGTAGCTTTGTAGTATAATTTCAGGTCAGGGATTGTGATTCCACCTGACTTGTCCTTGTTGCCCAGGATTGCTTTTGCTATTCTGGGTCTCTTCTGGTTCCAGATGAATTTAAGGCACGTTTTCTCAAGATCTGTGGGGTATGCTAATGGTAGTTGAATGGGAATTGCGCTGAATCTGTACAGCAGTTTAGGGAGTATGGCCATTTTCACAATGTTGGCTCTTCCTATCCATGAGCAAGGAATATTTTTCCACTTACTGAAATCTTCTTTGATCTCTTTTTTCAGAATACTAGTTTTCACTGAATAGATCTTTTACTTCTTTTGTTAGATTGATTCCTAAATATTTCAATTTCTTGGATGTTATTGTGAAAGGTATGGTTTCCTTAATTTCTCTCTCAGTCTGTTTGTTGTTTGTGTATAGGAATGCTATCACTTTTTTGGGTGTTGACTTTGTATCCAGCTACACTGCTGAATTTGGTGATTAATTCAAGGAGTCTTCTTGTGGAGTCTTCCATGTAAAGTACCTTGTCACCTGCAAATAGTGAGAGTTTTACTTCTTCCTTTCCTATTGTTATTCCTTTTATTTCTCTCTCTTGTCTAATTGCTCTGGCTAATGGTTCCAGAAGTATGTTGAACAGGAGTGGTGACAGCAGGCATCCTTGTCTTCTTCCTGATTTTAAAGTAAAACCTTTCAGTTTTTGTCCATTTAGTATGATGTTGGCTGTTGGATTGTCATAGATGGCTTTGATCAGGTTAAGGTAAAGACCATCTATTCCTATTTTCTGTAGAGTTTTTATCATGAATGGCATGTTGGACATTGTCAAAAGTTTTTTCTGCATCTGTTGAGATGATCGTGTGGTTTTGTCTTTGGCTCCATTGATATGGTGTATAATACTTATAGATTTGCGAATATTGAACCAACCCTGCATTCCTGGAATGAATCTGAGTTGCTCATGATGTATGATTTTCTTGATGATTTGATGCATTCTATTTGCTAGTATTGTATTGAGTATCTTTGCATCTATATTCATTAGGGAGATTGGTCTGTAGTTCTTTTTCTTGGTTGGGTCTTTCTCTGGTTTTGGTATCAGTATGATACTTGCCTCCAGAAGTGAGTTAGGGAGAATTGCTTCCTTTTCAATTTCATTGAAGAGTTTGAGGAGTGTTGGTATTAAATCTCTGAATTTCTTGTAAAATTCTGCTGTGAATCCATCAGGGTCTTGGCTTTTCTTTGTCGGTAGGTTTTTAACCACAGTTTCAATTGTAAGTAGAATATTTAATAAAAAGCTTAACAGAACAGAGGATCTCAAAGTAAGTGAAACAATATCTGTGAAACCCTTTGAAGACTGCGTTTTACAGAAAATTACAGAAATCTAAGGCATTATTAGTTATTATATTCTATTGCATAAAAGACTCAATAAAATGAATAACATAATGCAGATATTTATAAGAAACCCTTATTAAAACATTAATACCTTATTTATAAAATTATGAGTTACTAGTTATCAGTAAGCTTATTACCACATTTATAAAATTATTATACATCTGCTGATACATTGATAACTAAATCCAATGTCAAAAACAGGCCCTATACTGTCCACCAGGGCTGATTAAAAGATACCTTACATATATTTACAAATTCACTCATTTAATGGTCATAAAAATCTTTGAGGCAGTTCCTATCATACCTGTTTTACAACTGACGAAACAGAGGCATAGAAAAATTCAACTGCAGAGAGAAAACTAGCAAATCTGGCCTTCCAAATAAGGTAGTTCAGCCCTAGAGCCTCTTTTCATTTCTATAATCTATCTAATAGCAACTTTTGCAAAACACAAATAGTTTCCATTTTCACATCTTTAGTCACTTTCGCAGAATACAGTTGTATCTAATTATGCTGCATCCAAAGACTAGGAATGGCTCCCATGTTCTTTTTGGTGAGATTATGAATATATTATAAAAGTGATGAAATAGAAAAGAAGCAACTTGCATGTTCACTGATAACTAGTAACTCACAGGCCATAACTTTCATGGTTTACAATACAATCTTCCTTGAGTCAACACTTTAGAGAAAACCTATCAAATAGAAATGAATTTAAAATGATTCTATGTGATGTGTGTTTCATATACTTATACTGCAGTTGAGAATAACATTGTTGAATATTTATATTGTATTGGGGGTGTAAAATGTTTCATAAGCCTGGAATATTCACATAGTCTTTACTTAGGGAGAAGAGAAGAATTGAGAGTATTCATTTAAAATTTACCTTCTCAATATTAAGTATTCTTAATAATTTCTTTATCATTAATTAAGTTTTAAAGCAATGACATTTAAAAATATATGAAATAAGTTACCTGTAAATGGAACAGGGCTGTTTTGTTTTTTTCTATCTCTGATGTTTGTGATTGTTGTTGCTTTGCAACTTGCTCTACAGCATCAGTTAATGATGTTTCTTGCTTACAAACAGCTAGATAAAATAAAGTATAAAATTAAATACAGATATTTTAAGGTATGCTTGTTTACACAAAATCACGATAAACTTGATACTTTTCTTCTTATAAACAAACTAAATTTAGAATTGTTAATCTTGTCATGCTGACTCTAAATAAAACGAAAGTCAAAGGTAAAAATGAGAGGCTATTCAGAGTTGTCTACTGCAATGTTATACCTGTTCCTTTAAAGAAGAGTGTATTTTTATTGTCCTAATTTTTTGTCCAGACTACTTATACCTAGACTATAATTATACCACAACTATAACAACTTAATAGCATTTACAGTTGACCTATTTTCATTATAGTCTTATATTTTCATGTTGTGCCTTTTGCAAGCACTTTATATGTTTCTTCCTGGTGAAATGTAACTACTTCCTTCTATTCTAATTTGCTATTAATTTTAACAAAATTATCCTTTCATACTTCTATTTTTTTGTATTATTTTAATTAATCCTTAAGATTATTACCTTCTTTAAGAACTGCATCATTCTTCCTTTCTTTGTTGCCTGACATTTTTGTCTGTAATCCCTTTTTCACTTTTTGCTTCACCTTCTTTATTCCTACAAGATAATCTATATTTATAATTTTTTTCACTTTTCCCTGTTTTTTTTTTTCCCATTGTATGTTTGTGACCACATATTCCAGAGGGATGGTAATGACATTTACTCATTAGTACAAATAATTAACACAATGGTTGAGAGACTTTGGTTTTTCTCCGGTACCGGGAACCGAACTCACGACCTTGCGCATGCCAGGCAGGCGCTTTTGCCGCTGAGCTAAATCCCCAACCCCTGGTTGAGAGACTTTGGAAGGAAAGTAGAATAGTACTGTATTTGCATGTTGGTTCTCCAATTTTCAGCTGTTATGAACTATAGTGTCTTCTTTGATCCTTGATGCCCTTATTTATAAAATCTCATGGGAATATTGTAGTAAAGTAAGATTTATACATGCTTAGCACAGCACCTGCCATATACAGAGTAATTATTGTGGATTAGCAGCAGGTACTTCTAGTACTACGATGAAGTAGGCTTTAAAACAATAACAAGAACCTGTGAGAATATTTCAAGAATGCTTAGCAATTTCTCTTATTAGTATGGAGTGAACACACTACTCCTGTTCAGTGATATTTTTGCTAGCATAAGGCCTACACAGGTTTAAAATTACATTTCAGTCTATTTGTTTAGGAGTAATTGATAAGATCATGTGGTAGATATTTTTCTTCACCTGAACATGAAGAAAATGCTATTATGACACGAGTGTTGACTGTCCAGAGTTAAAATCGTTGCCAGATTTAGGAAAAGGGTGTATGAATTTGCCTACACAGAGGAAATGGTTCACATTTTCATGATTAATGAATGAAAAATTCATTAATGAATTCATTAGTGAATGAAAAATTGATAAGTACTTTTGAAATTGGAAGTTGTCATCTCCTATTTAATGTTTGTACATAAGGATTTTTCTAGGTATGACTAATCTTTTAACAAAATGTTAGTTGATTTTTATAGACCCTGTGAATCTTTCCAAATTGTACTAAGGTGATTACAAATTTTGCAGGCCAAGAAAAAAAGTGGTATTGTTTTAATAGTAAGGCATATGTAAGGAAGCCTCCACAGAAAAGTCTACAAAATCATTAAATATCTTTCCTAAAGATCAGCTAAACACAAAGGACTCATGTACAAATTATGTTTTCCAAAACCAAAATAATCCCAGCACTCGGGAGGCTGAGGCAGGAGGATCATTGCAAGTTCAAGGCCAGCCTGGGCTACAAAGTGAGCTGAAGGCCAGCCTGAACTGCATAGTGAGACCCTGTCTCAAAAAGACAAAAACAAAACAAAACACAAATAAAAGTTTGAAATGATATATAAAAAGAAAAATTTTAGATACAAAAATTTAAAATTAAAGCATGATAAACAAAAAGATAGAAGTTAAATTTCTTCCTAAGTGAAGAAATTCAAACCTATCTAGAAATCTCCTACCAAGATAAAGAAATCCTGAGCTTAACAGGTAGATTGTCTTACACTCCTAAGTATTTAGGATTCTTTCCTGTCTCATATCATTTCATGTCACATTTCCAATTTACCTTCCTGAGGTTTATCTGTATGCTCAGCTTACTCACTGTTCATGTCATCATTCTATGTCCTTTCTGTGCAAAACAGAACTTCTCCAGATTTACTGCTGTTAATGATTCCAAACCTAATTTTCTCTCTAGTACTTTTGAGTTTCACAGTCACATGAAATTCTAGCTATCTTGAAAATGCATGCCTTTTTCAGTCAGTTAGATACAGTAGGCAACTAAACTTTTGTGTACATCTAAGATTGTTTGTTTCACAATAAAGAGCTTCTTAAAACTGATATAGTCAGACTCTGATTTTCCTCCTTGCAAATCTTCTGAAGGAAGATCCAAGAACTGAAAAATCACAAAACAACACAAACATAATGTGGATCACCACAGACCCCCTGATCAAAAATCTGGTAACAAATTCAGTCAACTGATTACATGGTAAGTGCTTTCATCATGCTTATTTTGTGCTAGATACTATTCTAAGTACTTTACATGAAAAACAACAAAAGTATTATAGTGTTTGTGCTATGCCTGGTAATCAAACATTAATTCATTTTACTCTGTGAGAAAGATGATATAATTTTCATTTCACATAAAAGTAAGATACAAATAGATCAAAGAATTTACTCAAAACTGTCAGTGAGTCTTTGGTTGACCAGTATTGCATGTCTATATCTGTTTTCATGAGAAGCAACTTTGAAGATATCAGTATGTAATACAACCACCATTGTTAATTCCCTACCACTTTGTTTGTAACTCTGTATTGTCTGTACTGTGCTTGTGATATGTTGTAAAATGTTGTATGTCTGTTAATGTTTCCCCCCTTTTATCTTTAAAATTAAAAAAAAAGAATTTACTCAGATAACTATTGAGATGATATGTGAATTCAGGTAGTTTGGTTCCAACTTCATGCTTTTAATTCTACACTTCTCAAGTATAATTATTAAGGGAAGAATCATGTTTTTATGTACCACTGCAGAATCAAACTATTTTGTATTCTTTTATTGTTAAAATGTCACTTTAATGAATTTCCACCATTTTGTTTTCCTTAGGGTGCTGTGGATTGAATTCAGGAGCTTGTGCATGCTAAGCACACACAATATACTCAGCGACAACTCCAGCATCCATGTTCCTCCTTTCTAGTCCCACTTCTACTTTCCACATTTCTTCTTTGGGGAACTATTACAGTAAAGTACAGCAATGAAGCTAATGCAACTCCTACAGACGTTCACCATAGTTTGCATGACTGAAAAGGGAACCCAGTACATTCTTCCGGCTCCTAGTAAATTCCCGAGAGATGTTAGCTTCCTGATGAGTCATCTCTTTTCTCCAAATTAATGTAATTTCTACAATCTGTTTAAGACACTGTGGAAACTACTCCCATTATCTACTATATCTCTGTAATCTGTCTTCAGAAGTCTAAGACTCCCAAGTCACTCCTTGTCATAAAGATCTATCCTTTTTCAGCTTGGTAAGCCTGTTAATATGATATTGTGTAACTGACTCTTCAAGTCTTTTATATTCTTCTGGTGTGGCTTCTGAACTCAAGATCCATCTTCAAGAAAATCCTATCTTCAATCCCTTTGGTAAATTTCCCTTCACCTTTTTGCTTTTCTTCCTTAGGTTATTAAGTCTGGAGGTGAGATATTTTTCCTGTTACTGGTTACCACTGCTAAACTATGATGTTTTTCTTTTTAGAAAAACTTTGTAGTTTCTCTGAAGTTCACGCCATCAGACTAAGCTTTCCCTATTCCTGTTATCAACTGACTTGTGGATTCCCTCTTCTCACGCCTAGATTATAGCATCTGATATACTGCTTCTAACTATTCATATTTTTTTTGGAATTTCAATATCCACACAGATGGTACAAGCTATAGTTTTGATACATAATGTTCCCCCAAAGTTTCATGTATTGAAAGTTTATCCTCAATACAGTAATGTTCAGAGGTGAGGCTTTTGAGATTATGAGGGTTCCAATCTCATCAATGGATTAAATCATTGATAAATTCCTAATTTGATGAAATTGAAAGGTGGTAGAAACATCAGATCTTCTAATTGAGGAAGCAAGCCCATGGGATGTTCTTTGTCCCTGGACCTTTCCTCTCAATCTGTCTCCATCTCTCGCCATCTTGTCTACCATGAGGTGAAGAGCTTTGCTCTGCCACAGGCTCCTACCTCAATATTCTGCATTACCACAGGCCCATAGCAATACAGCCAGTGGAAAATAGGCTAAAGCTTCTGAAAGAGTGAAAATAGATCTTCCCTCCTTTAAGTTGATTTTCTCAGGTACTTTGCTTTGACAATGAAAAGCTACCACAGTTTATCTAATATTTTAATTAACTTTTAATTTTAAATTTTAAAATTAAAATTTTAAGGCAAATTTTAATTAACTTTCAATTTTCTAACTCATTTAATCTAGTATTTTGCTTACTAGAGCTGTTTAATCACACCAAGATTTCTAAACCCTTGATACTTCTCTATTTACATGATCCCTCAAGTCTTTCATGTATTCTTACCTCCTTCCTGGTTTCAATTCCTTTGCATTCACCTCACTTCTCTGTTAAAAATGTAACCTAGTGCCTCACTTATAGGCATGTAGCTGAATATGCTCTTTAAAGACACAACTGTGCTGTGATCTCAATGTAAATTCAAAATAACTTATGGCCGGTGGGCCCTAGACTGGAGGCCCTTAGGATTCATCAGGTTTCATAGGTTATTTCATCCCTCTGGTCTTCAAATCTCCCCCTCAGCTCTCTTCTCTTCCTCTTTCAGATGACAACCTTTTATTTAACTAAGATTAGAAAATAGCAGTGAGATCGCTAAACTACCCCATCTACTAGTTTTTCTGCACCTGTACCTGCTCTATAGTTTTCTTGAGACGAATAAAGTCTCCTGACTCTTATCTCTACTCCTTTCTCATCTATTCATGGAGATTACTTCTTTGAATCTCTACTCAACATAATTCCCCTCTTTATATGGTAAAACATATGTTATGGTCTGTACCTAGATGTCCTCCCAAAGCCTCATCCACTCATAGGTGGGGCTTTTGATGCTAACTAAATTGGTTTAGCATGGAAGCCTGACTGGCTATGGGTGGCACTAATCAACAGGCTTGTAACCTGGATGGACTACAAGGGAAAAGGGAAAAAAACAAAAAAACAAAAAAACAGGCTTGCTGTTGTGGCTTGCTGCCTTCTGCTTGCCACGCCTTGAACTGTTTCTCCTCTGCAATGCTCCTCTGCCATCCACCCTGGTTTGGAACCAGCTGACTAAAGACTAAAACCTCTACAAACTGAGTTAACTAAAAGTTTCTTCCATTAACTTTGGGTGTCTGGTATTTTGTCTCAGCAATGAGAAAGTAAGTAAGACAATGTATTATCTCAAATGATTCATCATAAATCAATTACCACCACTACTACCAGTCTTGTTTTGATATCACCACTTCAGCTAG